AAATATAACAAACACTCGTCAACGGCATAACAGAAAAACGACAGACCCTGATAGACAACACCACATAAAATATAACAAACACTTGTCAATGGCATAACAAAAAAACGACAGACCCTGTTAGACAACACCTCATTAAATATAACAAACACTCGTCAACGGCATAACAGAAAAACGACAGACCTTGTTAGACAACACCTCATTACATACATGTATAACAAACACTCGTCAACGGGATAACAGAAAAACAACAGACCCTAATAGACAACACCACATAAAATATAACAAATACTCGCAGAAAACAGAAATAATCAGACCCTGTTAGATAACACTACAGAAAATTAGACAAAACTTGTAAGACATCATCACAAGAACCGGATTACCATATCAGACAGTACCATGTTAATAAGACAAATCCCGTTGGGCGGCATCACAGAAAGCTACCCCAACCATTTCTGATAGCATCACAAAAATAAAACAAACCCCGTCAGAGAGCACCACAAAAATAAGAATAACCCTATCAAACGGCACCCAGAAAATAAGACAAAACCCGTCAGATGGCACCACAGACAAAAGACCAACCCCGTAAGATGGCACCACACAAAAATGACAAATCTGTCCGATGACACCGCAGAAGATATGATAAACCCTTTTAGAGGACATTAATAACGTCAACTGCATATTGACATACACTCTCGGCTCAGTACCTCTCTGGTAGTGTATCATAAAAGTAATCTGACCTGTCGACACAAAAATAACAGAACATGACATGTCCTTCACAAATAAAGTGTCTAGTATTCCTGCTCGAAAGAAAATGGTCATTTCACTGTTCGTGTGATTATATAGCAGTGGAACTCACAACATGAAACGAAAGAAAGAGCGACAAATTATTCAAATTAACTTTAACTGATTACCCCACTACAACTTAACACCGTAACGGGTCATCCCGTACTACACAATACAGTATAGTGGTATTTCCTTAAAATATAATGCTATCTAAGTTTGATTAAAAATAAGTGCTTGCGGAAGAAAGCCGACGGCAGACATCTTAATTTGTAAGGAAACATGCATGTACAGGTTTTTGTTGTGGCGTGTTGTGTGATTGTTTTAATTGTATAAACAGAAACTGCTGAATTGGTGTCCATAATACAACATCGAATAACGCAATACATGTGTTACTTAAATCCAAGCATTTCACTTAAGATAATTTTGATGAAATATTAATTTGTCTTTTATAAATTTAATAAGTTGTATTCTATCATATCTAAACACTTAAGTGATAGGACATGCACGTCATCAGCAAGTACATAAACACGCAAACAATAGGAGGTATAACCAAACAAAATACCTCGTAACACCACCAAAAGCATACATATAAAATAAAAACTGAGAAACAAAATGAAGAATAAATAGGTTATTGAATTTATAAATGAACAATTACTACTATGATGTTTAAAATCTAGTGATAGATAAATAGGATAAGTTGGCGTGCGTTACCAGTAATAGATATAAACGAAAACAATCGAGAGATAAAAAGCAAAAATCTAACATGAGAGACTGTTGAAGCGATGGCCGGTTAAAATAAAATTTCTATCAAACTAAGGGTATTTGTGAGACAGCGGGTTCATGTGAATTATTTACATCCGAAGTGGTTTGTGATTCTACAAATAACAGTCGGCCTTACAGGATCATAAACCAAGGCGTCGTATCTTTCATGTTTCTGTCTTTAAGTAGATGACATGATATGTGCGATGATAAAATTGATCCGGATGTGTAACCATCGGAATTACACTGTCACACCTGAATGCTATATAAGCCTACCTGTAGAAACATACAGCTCATCACAGGTGAAACGCCGACAATAAAATCAACACCGATAACAATCACATAAGGTACTAATTCTGTGCTGAATTATTCATGGACATTCCTATTTTTATTGTTTAAAGATGTGAAGTACAAGTTCGAATCAATTATATTATCGCGTGGACAGGCCGCATGTCGAGTAACCTGCCTTAAATGATTTCGACATTAAATATAAGAGCATCTATCTATCCCATGTAAGTGCTAACATATCACGTTAGTTGCTACATCCGTAGTCACACACCACATGTGTCATCACAATACACCTGTAATAACGATGTACACGTGGTCTCTAGGCAACCATCGTACACGTAGGGTTTTAATCTATGTTGGCATATTCCTGCCATTATTTAATGAGATAATTTGGCCACATACATTATGTAATTTTCCCGACTAAGATTAACTGGTTGCAGGAATATGCCATCGTATATATATCAATTATTATGATGGTGTTTTTTTCGCAAACGATGAAGACTTTTATTGTTTGCTTACTAATTTGCACGAAATCTGAGGCACGAACCAAGTAAATTTAATTTTCTAGAGCATTTTCCCCTAGTGTGTTGGAGCTATGGCAAATGGTGCCCTATTATACATTCAGAGTAAAAATGATTATCTGGCAAACTGTAATATTGTTTGACAAAGACTATTACAACGTGAAGTACATCGTATACAGGCTTCAGTGTATTAGATGTAAATAGAACGTCATATACATTTTAAGTAGACAGGACAGAGCAGGTTAACACTCATTATCTATTATTTTACTATAGGCGATACGTTTATTAATGATTTCTTCATTGAATATACGCAAGATCATTATACAAATAATTTAGTAATGGTAATAGTTCATAAATGCAAACCATTTGCTTCTTGATAGAGTGTTTAAAGTAAACCCAATGTTGAGGAAACTACGAATTAGAAAATATAAAAAAAACACTTTGCTAGAACTGTTAAAAAAAGAAAGAATGATTGAGAAACCCTCTTCGAAAAATTAAAAACATTCCTGATTGTTAGGTAAAATATGTAATACTGATAAAACAAAACCTGTTTAAAAGCTGTTAATTTCCTTTTCTCCTTGCAGTGCCTTTTTCCAGGGCCCGATGGGACACATGGGCATGGAATGTATACCTCAATTTCGTCAACCCGTTATGAACTGTAAAGCTCTTACGGACATTTCGAATCGTATATATCCCTCGACCTCGACACAGCAGCGTCCGCCAGCCTTCTACTTCAACCAGGAGGACCTAGATTTCGTTCTGTTTGGATATTACCCGGTCAACACATGTAACGGAACCCCATCACATGCCCTCAGTGGCCTAAAAGTGGGAGAAATAAGTCACGGTAAGTAAACTTATTCACATTGCACCTGGTAAGAATAAGAACAACATATTATTGCAACGATCACTAAATATATAAGGTTGACAGTACATATAATATATAATGCAATAAGGATTGATGTTTTCCCAATAATTTAAAATTTCCCATTGTTATTGGCAAGGCCTGGTCAATTACTAGAACAGCAACTGGGGACATTTGACGTTTCGTGCTGTTTCTCGCACAAAATCGAAATACATATAAAAGCTATCAACCCTTATTCATTTGTTTTTAATTTTAAGACAATGAATACTATCTGGAATAAATACAATATTTATTAAAAAATAAGTGTCGATTAAAGAGCAATGGGACGTTTGAAATAGTGTTTTTTCTAAAAAAAACTATTTTCCGAGCGCGTAGTCACGCAATCGTAACAATAGTTATCAGACTATGTATTCATACACAATAAATATCAGTTGCAGTCATATTCTAATAAATGAATCTCCTCAAAGAACGGATATAGAAATGTATAGAAAAGCCACCCCAAACGAAAAGTTAACCTAGATAGACCGATAAGCATTGCTCACATTAATTCATAAAAATGTTGTTTCGAGGGTATTTTGGAGATGGTTTCCTGATTTTTTTTGTTTTTTTTCATATTCTTGCATTGTTCATATGACTGCTACGGTAGTATTTATTACATTGCTTAGTCGGCTTGATAAAAAATAGTGCAGCTTTATTGTAAATGATCGACATCCTTTTTGAAATTGATTGGTTTCTTGTGTAACATTTTATACCAATGTTGCTTTTCCATTGGTGACAGTTAGCATTCTATTGCGATCGATCCATTGTTCTTCCACAATGCTGATTGGTTGACCAAGTAGTCGATTAAATAGCATGGTGAATTATTGTACAGCGAGTAAGGGGCAGCACACTGGTGACAATGTTATACACAATCTAAATGAGCTAATCTCCATTCTTAACCAGTATGGTGTGGAGAGACGATCAGACTAGACTTTACCATCACCGAATTATTTCAACGCTTTGACAATCAAAATGTACTAAACCCTATTTAAAAAATGATTTAAAAGGAATTATTGATTGTTTGGCATCTTCACATTATAGTATTTTCCTTGCATCATTTGATCTGTTGATGATTATTTCCGAGACAAATCGTTTCTTTATATTTCGTAACAATAACAAAACAACATCATTTTATACAACAATATAACTGTTAAATATCATTATGAAATATTAAAATCGATGGGTAGATATAGATTATTTCTTGATTTCCCAAATGAATTAGCACAAAAAAGGTTTTGGTTTTGTATCCATATGGCCTAATGGTTTATTCACGCTAAATGATAAGAAATCAACAGAAACCTCTCAATAACATTATTTATATAATTATTATACAATGCAACATCTTTTTATTATCAAATTTTTCATACTCCTAGATTCTGGATAATTTATGTGCTGTCCTATCTTAAACAAACTATTACTAATATCAAGACACTGTCTTGACTAGTACACCCTTAGGCCCGACATAAAAGGCCTTGGCTTGCTATTGTGAGTGGTTGTAGAGACGGGTTCAGACAGTATGCGAGGTGCAGTTTATTTATAATGTATAAAATCCACATAGCGTTTGTTTAATGTTACCAGGTTTGATGATACCTAATATGATTATTTTTATGGCTAATAAAGATGTGCGTTTACCTGTTTACCTGGTATACCCAGAGGATAATTACTACAAGCTGTTAATCAGATAACACGTGACGCTTAAAACAGTTACTCATATCTTTACAATGTGTTGCCGGATTTTTATAAAATAGACTGTAAATTAATAGTTAACCATCCAGATGAGAAGACAAAGGTAAATTGTCAGTGACCTAGATCTTACCTGCACCTAATGAGCCTATTACATTTGATAGAAGTTGACCCGGGATTTTGAACAATGGAAATGTGACAATGGCAATTTTCATGAGAAGTATTATATTAGCATTCACCTATTACGTTTATTAAAGAGTGCACTTTGCATTGCGTTCTCGAATATTGAAAGACTTACCATGGAAACCGAATTCCAACTTTGAAAAGGTAATCATACAAAACTACACGGTAGGACGATTTACAGATAACAAATGTCATACTCACCATTGAAAATCCATTGGTGTTATGGTAGTTTGCAACGGTCGTTTTATTCATGATTCTTCATAAAAAGTTTAATGGTACTTAATACTTGGCATTTTTTCTTTGAGTGTTTGATTTAGATATGTACAATATTTTTTGCGTAGGCATTGAAAGAATACTATCCCAAAACAACGGTATGGCTTCACCTTTTCCTGTCAGCACCTGGAAACTATCCCGCACTGATCCCCCGCCGCATGACCTTCCTGAAGGTAAGACAAATACAAATACTTGAAACCATAATCATAGCATACATGTATATGATATGCAGATTTATTTCCAAAAGATTTGTTGAATAGCAAAAGCAATTAGAAAATTTGTGCTTTTATTTTTTTTGTATATAGAACAGTTATTCATAAATTAATAGAAATATAAAGGGTTGACTTATTCTGTTTTAGAACTGTGTATTTGTCCCACGACGTTTGCCGGTATCATCCACTACGGTGTATTCTCTCGACGCGATATTCTCGTGAAAGGCACGAGATTTGGACCATTCAAGGGCAAGGTCGTAAATACCAGTGAGATAAAATCGTTTGATGACAACAGCTATATGTGGGAGGTACTGATTATATTCCTATTTATATATTCTATTGAAATCAAACAAAGGCCAAGATAAAACTGTAAACAAACGGAAGAAAAACATATGTTATGAAATTAAATTGATTTTCTATGTTGCAACAAATAATAATGAGAGAAATACAAGTTTCTTTGTTGTATCAGCTATTTCACTTGAACTCCTACGTGGGAATTATGCATTGATTATGATGGTGGACTGAGTTCAAGCCCGATTCTATTACACTTTTGGTGTGTGGAGACTTCGTTTTCTGACTGAGTTACTGTTATCATCATTCATTTTGAATTTCATTTTCAAAAGTATTTTTATTTTCAGATCTTTAAAGGAGGAAAGCTGAGTCACTTTATAGACGGCCGAGGGGCTACTGGTAACTGGATGTCATACGTCAACTGTGCCCGGCACTCGGCGGAGCAGAACGTGATTGTAGTGCAGGAGAATGACTGTATATACTATGAAGTGTACAAAGACATCCCGATTGGTTCCGAACTGTTAGTATGGTACAGTGACGTGTATATACAGTTTATGGGGATCCCAGTAACAATGAAGGAGTCCATAGAGGTCCAGAAAGCAGCGAACATGGAAAAGGATGGTACGTGTTTGACTTCCTGGAAACTATCATTAGAGTAGCGTAATCGCATTTCGATGATTGAGTTAATCTAGCGATTTTGGTGGTTTTAAATGTTATAAATCTAAGTCTTATATCATCCCGACTAACACTAAATGTATCGTTTATTTTGTTTTGATCAATAAACTTTTTTGGTTAGTTTTTCTAACTACTTATAAAATTTAACTTTACTGCACAAAACTAGCCTGTATTGAATATACTAATTATAAATAGAGATAAATAGCATCAATTATATATTACTGTTATTTCATTAGTTTTGAATGTGACTTTTATTTTTCCCATTAGTTATTTATATTACTTTCACCACTGTACTGTGGATACATGCATGTATCTGTTATATAACAAAGTACATATTTATCTGTTTTATAACGAAGTACATATATATCTGTTTTATAACAAAGTACATATGTATCTGTTTTATAACAAAGTATATATGTAGCTGTTTTATAACGAAATACATATGTATTTGTTTTATAACAAAGTACATATGTATTTGTTTTATAACGAAGTACATATGTATCTGTTTTATAACAAAGTACATATGTATTTGTTTTATAACGAAGTACATATGTATATGTTTTATAACAAAGTACATATGTATTTGTTTTATAACGAAGTAGGTATGTATCTGTTTTATAACGAAGTACATATGTATCTGTTTTATAACTAAGTACATATGTATTTGTTTTATAACGAAGTACATATCTATCTGTTTAAAAACGAAGTAGGTATGTATCTGTTTTATAACGAAGTTCATATGTATATGTTTTATAACGAAGTACATATGTATTTGTTTTATAACGAAGTACATATGTATCTGTTTTATAACGAAGTACTTATGTATCTGTTTTATAACGAAGTACATATGTATCTGTTTTATAACGAAGTACATATGTATCTGTTTTATATTCAAGTACATAATTATGTATCTGTTTTATAACGATATGAGGCAAGGAAGTTATTCCAACAGTGAAGACAATATGATGTTGTCAAATTTTCTGAGCAATCCACTCTTTATCGAAGACACAGATAAAAACAAATCAATTACATTTCATAAAGACAACAATAGAAAAATAATAAGATATAGCTTAAATTTGAAAACAATAAGACCCTCGGCTAGCATTAGCCGAAGACACAATGACCGCATCGTTAAATATAACGATATATATGGTAATGAACTCAGAACACGTATGACTGTACGTAGACAACAAACTAGAAATGATTCTTTACGAAATCTTCATGTTAACAAACATATTCATGAATGTGCTGGAGATAAATTTGATGTATTACCTTTGTATCAACTATTTTCATCAGACACTATTTTAAGAGAAACGAAAGAAGACCAACTAATCAAAATATTAAAAGTCTTTACAGGCCACAGTATAATTTTACGCTAAATTGTCCACCAATATTGTGTACTTCGTGACGTCACGTTACTATTGTAGTGTGATGACATGTAATTGTGACGTCACGACGTTGTTCTTTTGAATAAACCTGAAGAGCCATGTGAAGGGTGAAAGCAGCTAGTTTTTTAGTCGGTCGTTAATCTTATTTTTTCTATATATATATATATATATAATATATATAACTGTAAAGGCAACACAAATACTAATAGTATTTAACCGTATATATACTTCAGATTTGTTTAAATGTATATCTTTACTGCAATGAGGAAATGTAAAAATGATTTATTTCCATATTGGATAAGCAAGGAAAACTCTGCGTCGCTTCGTGCTATAAACGAATTTTTCTGTTTCATAAATGATTTTGCCGAATACTAATACAGTTTCAGTAAATTCTAGTAACATTTTTTTTATAAATAAAACAATATTGAAAACTGGCCTTGTTCTCAGTATTCACATATCGTTTTGTATGGTTATTTTGTCTTCATTACGGACGATTTGTTTGCTATACTTACCTTGTTTTCATAACTGATTTTTCTTTTTTTTTCTCAATACAGAAATGTATTTTTGTAAGGCTATGCTGTTTTACGTTCTGATATTTCGTTTCTTATGGCTGTTTTGTTTTCATTAATTAAGTGTTTTATAGAGTTAACTTGTTTTCAGTTCTGATATTTCGTTTTGTGAGGTTACCTTGTTTTCAGTACTGAACTTTTATTTTGAAGGGTTACCTTGTTGTCAGTACTGAACATTCGTTTGATACGGTTACCTTGATTTCAGTTCTGATATTTCGTTTTGTAGGGTTGACAAGTTTTCAATACTGAACATTCGTTTTGTAAGGTTACCTGTTTTCAGTTCTGATATTTCGTTTTGTAGGGTTACCTTGTTGTCAGAACTGAACTTTCATTTTGTAGTGTTACCTTGTTGCCAGTACTGAACATTCGTTTTATAGGGTTACCTTGTTTTTAGTACTGAACTTTCATTTTGTAGGGTTACCTTGTTTTCAGAACCGAACGGTTAAATTGTTGACCATACTGAATATTCGTTTTGAAGTGTTACCTTATTGTCAGTACTGCACATTCGTTTTGTAGGGTTACCTTGGTGACAGTACTGAATTTTCGTTTTGAATGGTAAACTTGTTGACAGTACTGAATTTTCGTTTTGTGTAGGGTTACCTTGTTTTCAGGACTGAACATTCGTTTTGTAGGGTAAACTTGTTGACAGTACTTAACATTCGTTTTTGGAGGGTGAATTGTCGATAGTACTGAATTTTCGTTTTGAAGGGTAACCTTGTTGACAGTACTGAATTTTCGTTTTGAAGGGTTACCTTGTTGGCAGTACTGAATTTTCGTTTTGAAGGGTTACCTTGTTGTCAGTACTGAACATTCGTTTTAGAGGGTAAATTGTCGACAGTACTGAATTTACGTTTTTAAGGGTTACCTTCGTTTTGAAGGTTTAACTTGTTGACAGTACTGAATTTTCGTTTGGAAGGGTAACCTTGTTGACAGTACTGAATTTTCGTTTTGAAGGGTTACCTTGTTGACAGTACTGAATTTTCGTTTTTAAGGGTGAACTTGTTGACAGTACTGACTTTTCTTTTTGTAGGGTTACCTTGTTTTCAGGACTGAACATTCGTTTTGTAGGGTAAACTTGTTGACAGTACTGAACATTCGGGTTGGAGGGTGAATTGTCGATAGTACTGAATTTTCGTTTTGAAGGGTAACCTTGTTGTCAGTACTGAATTTCCGTATTGGAGGGTGAATTGTCTTCCTTATTGAATTTTCGTTTTGAAGGGTAAACTTGTTGACAGTACTGAATTTTCGTTTTGAAGGGTTACCTTGTTTTCAGTATTGAATTTTCGTCTTGTTGGGTAAACTTTTTGACAGTACTGGATTTTCGTTTTGAAGGGTTACCTTATTTTTAGTTTTCACATTTGGTTTTGTAGGGTTACCTTCTTTTCAGTACTGACATGTCGTTTTGTAGCGTTACCTTGCTCTTAGTACTGAACATTTCTTGTTGTAAGGTTATTTTGTATGCAGTACCAGCAAAGCGATGTGTAAGGTTATCTAGCTCACAATACTAGTAACTCGTCTGCTGATGTATAAGCAGGCAAAGCCCATGTTAATGTTGTTCGAATTTTGAACAACCAATTGGAACGTTGCCTTATTGTTTACGAGCCTCTAAATTTCGAGTACATTCATGTAAATAAATCATGGGTTTTCTTTGTATAATATCTGTATATATTTCACGCTTACAGTGCTTGCATCAACTTTAATATCACATAGAAAACCAAAGCAGGTTAGGATAAAAAAAATAAAGCACGAGATTAACGCACGTCAGGCCCATAATCCCCACTCTAGCACTCGAAAGCATGACAGCATACTTGGGGTCTATGCATGTATATTCGGAAGTATAAAACAAATTGAAATGCATCGCGTTAACAGTTGTAGGCACGCTGACATGTTTGTAAGGCGGATATCGACGCACTGGCGTCAATTTGTCAGTGTTAGTGTGGAAACTAGGGTCTGTGGAGACATGGCACCAGGCTTTAGGCATCACGTGAAGATTTCGTAAAAACAACTTTTAGCCCTGCTATCTCAAAGTTTTTGAGCCGAGATGCGTTAGATTTAAGGAGATTTTATAGCTATTTTGACAAGCAGGTGATACTAAATTTACACTTTAAAGGCATTGAAATGGTGTATAGCAACAGAGATGGTGACATTTAGTAGCTTAGTCTTCACGTTAGGGCCATGTCACGTGTCTCGAGGAGGTTAATGCTGACTTTGAGCTGTATTAGGTGCAAGGTGTTGTAAATCAGAGCTCCTGTTGCCTGATTGTTATAGCAATTACCCCGCATCACCATGTCCTACTGCACGCTGCCATCTCAATATCATGCCGGTAATCCTCCATTTACCGCACCCATTACGCGCGCATTCCAAGCGCAGGGGAGGTCCAGATCACAGTCGTCTTACGATAGTGTTTGTTTTACGATCATCCGCGGTTCCATAAACCCCCTTCCTGATTTAGTGCCCCCAACACTCAATCTCCTTCCAATTAGAGACGTAGAGAGATGCTTAATGAATAGATTTGTTTGCTGGTCACATTTATGAAGAAGAACGTAAGCGTACTTAGCGAGGGCTTATCTCAGCATAAACCGGAATTACAGTCCACGTTTCCGTGACGCTTGAAGGAAAAGAATACACATCGGTGATAAAACAGAAAAAATCAGATTTAACTCTCCCTATTATAGCCGAGCCTTAAAACTAACTACAAACCCCAATCCCCACAGGACCGGCCAGTTTTTATCTCTGGTAAGAAGTAGGGTTTTATTCCCAGTGTTTTCTTGGCCAGGTCTGAACTGGCTTTGTCAAGACGCTTGCTCCATTAAAGCATTGGGTAATAAAACGCCGCCGCCTTTGACAATGACAGTCATACATTTTCTTTATGTAGCATTGTCATGTTAACTTTAACGTTAGTGTTCCCGTCCTTCTGTATAAACCTGCTTTCTGATGTGATAGGAAAGTAGTTGGTGCATAATGCAATGATAATAGACATGTGACTGCTAGAAGTTTAATTAATGACAATGTTCGTTAATTTGAATGTAAAATGATAAAATCAGAAATCAAATCAAATTTACTCCTGACCAGAAATGCGAGATCTTGCGAATGGTATAGATTGAAAATCTGTTCCCTTTAGAATGAACCTAAGTTCTTACTGATAGAATCAGATAACAGTTACATCAAACCTGCTCCATTGATCCCGAGGAATATTGCTTTGAATCATCATTAATCGTCATTTCTATGTATATATCACTTTTCTTCTTGCATTCTCAGACCATCTTATTTGTTCCTTTTAGCTGCGGAGGGATATCAGTGTGAACGTTGTGGGAAGGTGTTTGCATACAAGTATTATAGAGACAAGCATTTAAAGTACACGAAATGCGTCGACCAGGGCAACCGGAAGTACCCCTGTCATCTGTGTACAAGGTAGGTAACCGGAAATATATCTGCCATATGTGTAATAGGTAGGTAAAAGAATTTACACAAAAACATTGAAATGAGAATTACAGGGACCAACATCCCGATTTCCTTTACGGTGATTATGTTAAATGTTTCCTTATTTTTAAAACGATTGTTTTGTTAGTAAGACACTTTGAAGAGAAGTCGAATTTAAGAAGCATCTCTCTTCAAAGTAAGTTTTTTCACATCAGTTAAAATGTTATTATCGAACAGAACGAATAATGCATTACAATCATTAAGGGATATTCTTGTCACGACTACACCAGGAATCATTACAATCATTAAGGGATATTCTTGTCACGACTACACCAGGAATCATTTCTATTTATATGATACACTTGCTTAATTAATCAAATAACATTGTTATCGTGTTTTACAGGTCCTTTGAGAAGAGAGACCGTTTACGGATCCATATCTTGCACGTCCACGAAAAACATCGTCCACACAAATGTAGTGTTTGTGGTAAAAGTTTCAGTCAGAGTTCCAGTCTAAACAAACATATGAGGGTAGGCTAATCATTTTATTGTTTATAGGATCAACAATAGCCGTATGACGTAAGGGCGTTTATGTCATTTATCTCTTTATTAAAAATGTTTCCATATCATAATATCATATGAATTTAGTTCATACTCCAAGTCAAGTCTTTTTTCTTGCTTTGAGCATAACCTCATAGAATAAACCATTTATGCTATCAGTGTCGAAAGATGTGACGTTAAGGCTTTGCTAGGTTTACATTGAAGATAATAGAAAATGCTGAACTAGGTCAGAGTAAAGCTCTTTTCGCGAATATTCACATACACTACATGCACCCATGCTATGATAACAAATACACTGTACAACTTGGTAGAGTCGAACTATCAGATAAGTCGAATACTTTTATTGGTCACGATGCGTTTCGACCTATCCCAGTTTTGCTGTATAAGGATTGGTTTCGAATACTCACATATACTATTGATATTATGCTAAAAGATATAAGGATCCATTTCCTATTGATACGAGATTTCTAAAAACAAAATCAGAGACAATCGAGACTTGTTCCATTAGACTCACGTGAAAATGAAAACCATTTATGATTAAATATACGCATCAGTGTAGTAGGACGTTTATACCGATCAACGATATACAAATCCGCGTTAATATTATTCCAGCCGCACAATAATTGCAAAAGAAACCATTCGCAAGTTACAATCTTTAATCAAAAGTATTGAAATGATGACAGCTTTTAATCCTTGTCTATTGGTTATGTATATACAGGTACATAGTGGAGAACGCCCGTACAAGTGTGTGTATTGTAGTAAGTCCTTCACTGCCAGCAGCATACTGAGGACACACATAAGGCAACACTCGGGAGAAAGACCCTTCAAGGTAACGCTCCATTAGTGTAATTGTATACAAATATCTGAAATGCTCAAATACAATATATATATTGTGAAGTTGACAGAACTATAATTTACGATTTTTATTATAAAAAAAAAGAAATTTAATTTATGTTGTTACGTACTTGTTGAATTAAAATGTTTAATAAATAACAATTGATTTTATACACAGAAGCACAAATGGTCACATTAATACTTTTTATGAAAAAGATGAGGCCAGTAATGGAAATAAAATTTGAATTAGATTACAATATGATAGTGTTATGGTTTATAAATGAGATTATAGTAAAAGTGGCTCCAATATACTCTTACAACGGATATTCATCGAAACCATCAAATCCGTTTAAAATATTAATTTTGTATTTTACTTTACTTTCAATCTTGACGATCATTCAAGCAAGATTGCATTTTAATGAATATTTTCACACACGATTAACGTGACGATTTCCATGTATTTCTTAATATCCATTTCAGTGTAAGTTTTGTGGAAAGGCATTTGCATCACACGCAGCTCATGATAGTCACGTGAGACGTACGCATGTGAAGGAAAAGTCAAACTCTTGTAAATTATGTAATCTAGAATTCAGCAGTCCCTATGAACTCAAACTCCATACCAAGTCTAAACACGGTAAGGCAATATTACAGGAGTAGAAATAACACGCATGGCCAAAGATGAAAATGGCGTCATTGATATTGCGTTGATTAAGTTAATAAAAATTAACAGACTTTTATATGAAATTATATCAATAGTTCAGTCTTAGATAGGAATATAATGACGACAATAGCACACTGCAATAATTGATAGGGATGAATATTGTTAATAAGATACTCGTCGAAAGAAACAATACATTCTGAGATAATAATAAAAAAATCTCATTCTGAGATACTAGTTGAAACAAAAAACACATTCTGAGATGATAGTCGAAAATAAAAAAAATACATTTTAATAATTTGCGATACATTTTTATTTACAGAAAATCTAATGCCGAACATTTGGAGTGTGCAAGATTCACATCTTCCAGTTTCGGGATCAAGTCTTCATCAGCTTCAAGTTTGATAATCCAGTCTACCGTTTTGAGTTTTTAATATCCTCTCTTTCTCGCCAAGTCTTTGACCAAGAAAACGTTTACTTGTTGGGTTGTACAGACTTGCCTTATTCTGTGGGCAAGTTTTGATCACTTCTGACTGGGGATTTACATTTTGTATGCATGTTCATTTCGTTATAAAAAAATATCAACCTTACCACGATATATCAATCATAACGAGCGAAATATTATAGCGAGATATCATCATGTCACGAAGTTTCATCATATTATAAGATCTCCATTATATCAAAGTTATGAATTATATGTTCGAATCACTCCTTCACAGCATCACAAGATAAACAATATATTTATATAATGTCACACATCTTTCGACACATACTATCTATTCCTTAATGTTAGTATACATAATCTACACACTGCAACCACCAAACATTAGGTTTAACAGTTAACGTCCTATTGCGTGCAAGGAATAACATTATCTATTGAATCGAAAGCAAATAAATCAGTTTTTAATATAATCAAACAAATTCATTTATCAAAATAACAAATGTTTGTAACATTTTGTAAATACTCTTGCCTTGTATCGTTCTTGGTAATCATGGCGTGTTTTGTACACTTTTATACTTCCACTACTATGTACTATGATCAGTGTTCAGGTTATATTAATATAACAATAAATACCAAGTGTTCACATTTCTGTAATCTGATATCTGACACAGTGTCGTTATGTTCATGTTTTAAGATGCATTTTCCGTAAGCGTGTCGGCAGATCAAGTTGGGTGTTATCATAAACGTCGGTATAGAGTTATCGCAGGATCATATTATCGGAACCCTCCAAGTATAAGACCATTTAAGACGTTTCAAGATAGTTTTCCTATTACATGTTATTTCGACATTGCAATATATATATATATTGTTTTGTGATATTTTGCTAGATATATGCCTGATTAAGGTAGTTATAACAATGATAATGGTCTGCATGACCACATTAGACCAAAGGGGAGTAACTCAAGGTGATTTCTATGTAAAATTGTAAAACAAAAAAACGATACATTATGTCTGTCTTTCTGTCTGTCTTATAATCAAACAATAATTTACGCCATTAATAAGGTAATTCGAGTAGGGCACTTTATATCAACGAAAGTTGTCTAAAAACCGAAGAATATTGCTTTCCATAACAACAATGTTAATGTAATGGAGAGCAGCCTTCCAGGTTTGTAACAAAATATTATGATAATGCATCCTCCAATATTGTAATATCGTGTGTACTTACAATTGATATTAATTCATAATAGATAACAATGACACGGTATTGTATGTGTTGATGTTACAATATGTTGATATTGATGAACAATGTTTGTTGTAAAATCTATTTTATTTAAGGCTGTGTTATATATATATTTTGTTGATTATATTTGTGTTTTTGTACATAAACTGTATATCTAATAAAAATATAATAAAATGTACTTCTATGCGTTGTAAATAATTGATTCACCAGACAAGACTACAGTGATGAAGTTTAACCCGAGTCATAAAAAGACGTCACCAGCATCTTGAAGAAATACACTTTTAAAAGTGTTAGCATCAAGACACAAGATACAATATTAACATAGCATCAACACATTTTTTTTTAAAAAAAAAATCGAACTTGAAATCGTTATATAAAGACGAAATTCAGGAACTAAGGAAATATCAAAACAAAATGAAATCCCTAATGATATTGTTCCTTGCACCGTATGTGGTACAATGTACCACCCGTCTTGCCTCTTGACAAATAGGGAGGCGTATGTACGTATGTTAAAATAATATTGAACTTAATTGAGAAATCTTTGATCAGTGAAGACTACTAAATCTCTAAGTCAAGTCTTACAAATTAAATCAGTTTCTTTGATCAAGAACGGTGATAATTAAAGGCCTACTTTTCTTTATAATACCAAATATATATTTACATATTTACATATTATACATATAAATACAAACTCATTAATGAAAAATCACTTAAATGATACTAATGTATATAGGTCACACAAGAGATCTTTGTAAGATCGGTATTCACTTGTAATCTGAGAATATGACTGGCGTGCCTTCATTTAAGTTGAATAGATACATTTCACATTTTGCTTAATTCATTCTCTTTTGTAAATGTTCTTTCAATAAATTGTTATGTGTCAAACTAGAAGCTCGAATTCAAAATCAGCTTAATAATGTTAGTTCCTACTTAATG